ACCAAATTACCTAAAGCAGCGCAGAATTTTACACTACCGCGGCGCCCCATGCGGCGTGGCAGTACAAAAACGGGTTTTTAAGACCCGAACCCCATTTCATTTAACTCGTTTGGGGTTTGTTATTTTGGGGTTTTCTGGAGCTTTTAGAGTAGAGGGTAAGAGTCAATTCTAGAGAGAGGAAGAAGCTCAAGTGCCTTGTTCATCAAAAAATGTTGTCCAATCCTTGAAATCCAACAAGAAATCCCTCAAGTTCTTCATCAAAGAGGTAAGGTTCTATACCCTAATCTTCAATTTCGTTTTTGGGTGATTGTTGAGTAAGAATTCATGTGAAAACTAGAGATAAGTCACTTGCGGTCATTGTTAGTCAATAATATGGGATTATCATCAAATATCCTGACTAGATTACTTATTTTTGGGGTGAAATCCGAAGGTTTGGGGCCTAGGGATTTGAAATTTGATTTGGGGATTTGAGGGACCATTTGAGGTCGGATTTGAGAACTTTTGGTATGTATGACTCGTGGCGAGATAAGGAATCCGATGATGTTAAATTTTCTGATTTTCGAGAAGTGGGCCCGGGGCTCGGGTTTTGCAAATTTCGTGAATTTCGATATTTTTCGAGTCTTTTCGATTGGGTTATGTTCCCTTAGCCTATTGTAACGTATTCGTTGTGGTTTTGATCAGATTCGACGCGCGAGGAGGTCGATTTGCGAGGCAAGGGCATAGCGAGCTAGGATTTTGGCCGGCTTGAGGTGAGTAATGATTGTAAATGATATCCTAAGGGTTTGAAACCCCAGATTTGCACACCGTAGTGCTATATTGAGGTGACTTGCACGCCGGATAGCGAGCGTGGGGTAGAGCACCGTTGGGGATTGTGACTAGCCCGTCCCGATTGATAAATTTACTGCGTATTTGACTGAAATTTACTTGTTATCATCATAATTTGGGCTGATTGCCATATTTGGGCTTCCTGCCAGCTATGTGAACCCTTCGGGGATTGTTGTTGATAATTCCTCACTGTTTGATTTTATACTTGGACTCAGTCATGTATTTTTACACTGTTTTCAAAACTCAGCCAAGATTACTTGCTTTAACACTTGAAATGATATTTCCAATAATATTTTGGGCTGAGCATCATGTTTATTGTTGCCCGAGTGGCTTATGTGATTTTGTTGACTGAGTGAGGCCGAGGGCCTGTATTGTGAGGAATACTTTTGGATCGGGCTGCACGCCGCAGCAGTGTTATACTGATATTGATATGAGGTCGAGGGCCTAGATTGANTGAGTGATGTGAGAAGGCTTTCAGGCCTTACTTTATATGCCACGAGGTGGCTTGATATTGCGCTTGGGCCGTAAGGGGCCCCTCCCGGAGTCTGCACACCCCTAGTGAGCGCCGTCGACGAGATATGGATCGGGCTGCACGCCGTAGCGGTTACTATATGATACTGTTCTGAGAGTGATCTGAGAGAGAGAGAGCCCGAGGGGCTGAGAGTGTTTCTGAGAATGAGCCCGAGGGGCTGGTACTGTTTTGAGATATTGCCCGAGGGGCGAACTTTTATGTGCTCATCTTGCATATTTACTTGCCTTTTTACCTGTTATACTGTGGTATTTGTGCCCGATAGGCGGATTTTTCTGTGCTTATCAACACTAACTGTTTTGAAATCGTTTCGTAACTGTTGAAAAGATTATTTTTGAAAGAGGATTAAACTGAGCCAATATATTTCCAAAGATTTTACAGTTTCACTATTTTCTCAAAGGATTGTACCCTGCTTCTATACAACATGTTGGTTGCTTTACGTGATTTCTTACTGCTCAGTTATTATTTACCTTTATTACTCACTGAGTTGGAGTACTCACTTTACTCCCTGCACCTCGTGTGCAGTTGCAGGTATTTATTCACCCGGTAGCGGGTATTGGCTGTTTGGAGGCAGAGCTGTAGTAGTTTAGCGAGGTGACTGCCAGCGTTCGCAGCACCGTTTCTTTCTATGTTATTCAGTATTCCTATTCAGTGTATTTCTAGACTTGTAAAAGTAATTACATTCTTATAGATGCTCGTGACTTGTGACACCCCGATTAGGACTGTGGTGGGTTGTATTTTCGCTAATTAATATTATTAAGTCATATTTAATCTGTTTATTCATGTTTAACTATTTTTGAAAAGACGAGTTGGGTTAGTTGGCTGGCCTCGTCTTCATGATAGGCGCCATCACGACCACTGCGGGGTTTGGGTCGTGACATTATCATTGAAATACTATAACTAGTTTGTACCAGGCTCCGGAACTAAAATACGGGCGCGATAATAATGGTTTCAAACATTAATTCTTTTCTTCATTTCTTAGACAATTCAGCAGAACAATTTCTTTTAAAAATTGATTTCTAAGGCTTGGGACCTCGGAATTTATGCAACCACCTTGAATTTAAAAATTGATTCCACGCACGCAAATCAAGGGGAGGTCAAAGGGAGATTTTTAGGTCTCGCAACACTGAATTTATTTTTAAAACAAGTAGGTCATCACAGGAACCTTTTTGGGATAGATGTCTTTGGGTTAAGAACTTACATTAAGGTTGTTGGTTTTTGGTTAACATGCTGTTGGTTTTTGATGAAATTCTAGCTGCTGATTTTTGGTGAATTCCAACCTCTTATTTGACTTGAAATGGTTTTATGCAAATGAATATTGTTCTAAATGTTGTTTAGGTTGTTGTTCAAGCTATTGGTTTGTAGCAATTTCCCTTGAACTGTGACAAATCAGAATGTTTGTAGCCCTGATATAGTGTTGCTAATTTCATATGCACTATCATAGCTAGAACAACCACCTTGAATATTTGTAACCAACTCCATCTATTTGTTTGTATCCAAAAATATATAGGATGGCTATTGTTTTAAATATTGATTGTGTATGTTTAGGTTTGCGTATGTTTAGATTGTGTATGTCCAGAGACTGCATGTTCAGGTTGTGTATGTTCATGTTTTTGTAGTTGTTGGTGTGTAGTTGGAACCTGTGGAGGGTATGTTTGTTCAATAGCATTTAGTTGAAGGGCATATTTGAACTTCTTATAGATACACACTGTTAACAAGTGTAGCAACTTTGCTGCAAGTCATTCAAGCTGCACATTATAAGCTCAAACCATCATTTTGGGTTAAACCATTGCACTTAGGTTGTTGCAAACTTACTACATTAAGATCAAACCATTACACAAGCAAAATTTACATAAGTCATACATTTCGTTCATTCATACAGTAATAAAATATGACTACATTCCATCCAATATTCAAAACCTACATAACTTAACTATGTAATACATAACCAACAACAAACCCAACAAGGAAACACAATACCATAACATATACATTTTCTCTCTCCTTTGCATATCTCCCATCATTTTCAGTATGGGAAGAGAGATTTTCAATAACACAAGATGCCTCCAAATCAACAACTATATCCCTTAATGATTTAGTTTCAAGCTGAATATCAACAGCTTTTTCCTTCAAATACATGGTTTCTCTCTAAATCAGTTTTTTCTTCAAGTAATCGTTTTCACCAATGTTTGACCAAAAATGTGTGGGACCTTTTTGTTAAATTAATTAAATGAAAAGATAGAGGGTAGATCCTAGATAAGGATATTAATTCTAGATATGAGATGAATAACATGAATAGAAAAATATAGTTAAGTATAAATGCTGGCAGTGATTTTGGCCAGATTAAATAATATAAAAAAATTATGCATTAAGTAACATTAAATGGCAATAAAATGTACATAAAGGAATAGATTCACCCAATCTTGAGTAAGGCGGATCCTCTTTCATTTGATAAAGATGAATGATAGACAAATACGAGAATCTTAGGACCCTTTTCAGATCTGATGGAGGGTATGGGATAAAAGATAATCTAATCTCTTTAGAGAGATGTATTTGTATATTTTTGAGAGAGAGAGCTTGCTTGTTCAGAAGTCCTCCCCCCTCCCCCCTCCCAATCCATTCTTCTCTCATACCCTTTGTATGGGATATCTCAAGGAGCCCTAAACAATACAATTAAAGAGAATATTTAGTAGAATATTCCCTTTAAAGATTCCAAAGCAAAACTAGGCATTACTTCTATATGTATCGCTCGACCTCGGCCTTGTTGTTGATCACTGCTCGACCTCGGCCTTGTTGTTGGTCACTGCTCGACCTCGACCTTGTTGTTGATCACTGCTAGACCTCGGCCTTGTTGTTGATCACTGCTCGACCTCGGCCAGACAGATCAATGCGATTCGCAAGTTACTCTTGACAATTGTCTTCGCATGTCGAATTTCTCTGATTTGATTTTGACACATAAAGTTAGTCCCTCCGCTTATCAAGGTCGTCTTTTGGTAGAGCTCGGTGAGTGAACTTCATTAATGGTAGTTCGAGAAATTTGGATGGGGAGGTCGGCTAGTGAGGATCGCGACTGAGGGTGCCGATCTTCAGGTCAAAGTGGTATCCCCGCGGTCTGAACTTGAGCAGAGTTCGATCAGGGCCAATGACTTGAGTGATGAGTTGATCGAGAAGACGTAGAGTTGGAGAAGGCTGACGAGGCCAGGATGGCGGCTTTGGCAAGGATGGCGGCATCGGAGGAGGTCATCCGCGTCCTCAGACCTGGATGGGCGATTCGGCTCTTGTAAGATGCCTTTTCTGATACTTCTTTTGATGGATTACACCAGTGCTGCTCCCAAACGCACACACAAGTATACGTGGTCATACAAGTAATAAAATGATAAGTCAAGTATCGAACCCACAGAGACTTATAAATTAACGCCTATATTCCTATGGAATCAATTTATTAAGAACGCATTAAGGTTACGATATTTAATTAAGCACGGTGACTAGGTATATTCCTATCCTAACCATAAATCTGCTCCCCCTAAGGGTTAAGATCATGCTCTCTTCAGTTCTTCTCTAATCTAAACACGGCTTTCCCAAGCATAACATAGATAATAAATAGAACCTAATTGCTGGCCAGACAATTAAGCAATTAAACTCATAATTGAAGAAAAACCATATATCAGTGAATTATAATCGAGGTTAAGTCAACGTTAAACAATAATATTCATGGCTAAATCACAACCCCAGAAAAATGGGTTTTTAGCCACTCATAATACTAGCAAACAATTGCATAAGGTTTGAATAATTGAAAATACTAGAAAAGATGAAGAAATCTGAGATGTTCTTGCTCCCGGATGTTTCTTGTGTGTATATTTTCTCAAAAGTCGTGTCTCTCCCTTCAAAAATAGGCTTGGTCTTTCTTTTATACGTGCTGGATAGGTCTAGGGCCGAATAAACCGTGTTCCGGGCAAAATAATACAAAAATCGCGTCAACGGCGCCCAGCCCGGCGCCAGGCGCCCACCAGGGCGCTGCCCAATTTTCAGCTTCTGTTTCCAGTGCCACAGGTGGCGCCAGGCACTGCCTGTGGCGCTCAAATGCACTTTTTTTTGGTTTTGTTCTTTTTGGTTTAAATCTTGCGCGTTTCGCCCCCAATTGCTCCCGAATCATTCCTACAAATAAAAATACTTCAAATTAATATAAATCATAGAATTTAACAAATCCAACAAGAGTTTTCTTTTTCCTTTTCAATTTCTTAATGACAATAGTGGCTCTTGGATGAAATTAGTCATCATCCCATTTCTCATATCCGCATGATATTGGCTGCAACATAACATCCAAATTGATTATTATTAAAAAACCCAAAATTTCCTATAAACACAAATATGAAAGTTTAAAAGAAAATATTAACTTACATCAGGTTTATAACACCTAAAGAAATGTCTCCCAAGATTTTCAGGAGTCCACGAAGTGAGATAGAGTGCAACATCTCCACATTGACAATTTCTTAAACGCCGGTTAGAAGACCTCGATGTTTGCAACATTTCATGAACGAAGAAAAGAAATAAAGGACCAAGGTTCTTGGAACTCAAAGACTAAACCCTACCTAAGTAATTATGAAATTGTGTCAATTTGGGAAAGAACCCTAATTGAGCAGCTATGGGTCGGATTAGTTTGTTATCTAAATCAGGGGATAGATGGATTACACCAGATTGTGACACGTTTTAAAATCTGGTGCTAAATATTTTATTAGGGTTGTCCGCCTAAAGTATGGCATATGTGAGCCACCTTATACACGGCAAGGGCAGGATTGAGACCACCTTTTAACGCCGTTAAATGTGCCCAATTTCGTATAGTTCACCGGCATGAATGGGCCTTTTCCGAATTGAATAACAATGAGCAAATTGTCGCCATTAATTTATTTATCATATAGTTAAGTTTATTATATCATTAGTCCGCCTGAAGCATGAGTGCTTCATCATAAAGCTAGTAAGTGTTTGGCACTTCACAACAAAAACGAAAATATAAAGAAGACCAGAATGCTTCATTTTAGATAGATGCGCAACAGAAGATGAACCACATTTAAAGCAAAACAGAAATACAAAGCATGTAATTGAACAGCATAAAGTTTGGAATCAAGAACGAGAATCTAATTGAGATCACTTACCCCATAATGATGCTCCATTGTTGCAATTTCTCGTATAAGAAATTAAGAATGCGTATTTTTCTTCATTCTTCAACATATTAAACCTGACGCACTTGATTTCCCAATATGAAAATTAGGGTTATGAAGCTTCAGGGAAAGAAATGGAGGGCAGAGAATCGATCCGTTTTGTTTTAGGATAGAGAGAGGAGTTCGTTTTGTTTTAAAGGAAAAATGAGTACGTCAGTTTGTTTTCATTAAAAAACTTACGTTAGGTAGGATTAAGCTAAAAATGCACCACCCTCATAGAGAATGTGGACTATTAATGCTTCACCTAAAAGATACAAAGCTATTTTGAGCTTTTTCTCCTACTTTTTACGATACAAAAGATTATTGTTATGAAAGAACTTTACTTTAGTGTCCCTAAAGTAGAGTTGTTTGTATTTTACACCCCTAAAGTATGCTTCATTTCCGATTTGCACTTTATCTTCTATTTCTTGCGATACCCCTAATCTTTTCATTTCACTACAAAATAATTAAAATACCTCTTTATTTATTTTCATATGAGGGAGAAAATTGGAATATTATATTATGTAGTTTTAGAAACCTAATGTCTTGTGCAAAAAGTTGAATTGGAAAGGAAATATTGTCTCCTATTTTCAATCTCTTTGTACGACAACATCAGTATGAGAATGTTGTAAAAGCAAGAAAATTAATGTGGAGATGTACATAAATAGGATATAAACCAGCAAGATTGTGGTTAATTTCACTTTATGAACATTTACTATTTGTATTTTTCACAGGATGATGCACTCATTATTAAATGGTTGACGTATCCAACAGTGCATTTAATTTTATTCTTAGGATCTTAGTCAAAATTCGTCAAGAAAATAAAAAAAAACTCTGTTGCAATTATATTGCTACCTCATCAGTCACACAATTGAAAAGTCCAAAACCTCCTAAAATTTGAAATTTGAAATTAGCCCGTGTGTTTCGATTTTTTCTAGCTAGCCCTTTTACCTTTTAAGTAAATCAAGAAGCATAGAAAAGAATCAAAAGATGGTTAATCATATGAATCAATTGGTGGAATTACTTTGGTTCATGCAAGGTTCCAAATACTGATTTATTAGTTGATTTCATTATTTCAAGAATTCTTCAACTCAACAGTAAGAAAACATTGTTGCGTTTTTTCGTTAAAAGTTGTGAATGGGAAATGGAAGAAACACCTTTTAGATTGCACCTCTTCATCCCACCCTTCCTTTGTCTATAAATATAGAGGCTTGGCCTCATCTTTCATAAAATGGAAAATTTGAAAAAACTTCTCCCCTCTTTTCTACATTGTTGCATTATTTTCTAAATAAATATAAGTGTCAAGTGTGATTTTCTCCGTTTGTTGAGTTCACTGAAGTTCTGTGATTTGTAGTGTCGCTATCACAGAATAGTTATTCCGTTTTATCCTGGGAGGAATAATCCATAACCTTGGGCAACAGTGAGGGGATTAAATTCCTTAAGAATATACATATTAGTATGATAAGAACAATATATCAAACTGTTGAAATGTTAAGGGGTTGCAATGGTTTAGTTGGAAAACTATTTGGAAAGAGAATTTGAATTCTCATAATTTTCTACACCCGTTATGGAGACTAAAATCTTCGTGACTTTTTACTGCTGCTTCGAGATTAAAATATGCATGGTTTTTCAACTCGTTCGTTGAGATTAAAGTATTTGCGACTTTTTACTTATATGTCGGAAATTAAAGTTCAAGTGACTTTATACTCGTTTTGGATATTAAGATCTTAGTGATTTTCTACTCCAATTTATTATTCGATTTGAAGATAAAAAATTTCATCGTTTATTAAATTTGGTTGTGTCACATATTACTCGGTTTGAAGATTAAAAATTTCACCGTTAATTAGACCTAGTTGTATCAGATATTACTCGATTTGAAGATTAAAAACTTCACCGTTTATTAATTATGAATATGTCGGATTTGTTTGAGGATTGAAAATTTCATCGTTTATTAATTCTAGCTCTATCATGACACAAACAAGAGTTCATGTGGTTGGCTCTACAAAGTATCTTTTGAAGAAATATGTTTGGAATATGGCGTTATTCATCAAACAACAACCTTATACACAACCCAATCGAATGGGATTGTGGAAAGTAAGAATAAATCATTAAATAAAATGATGAATGCTTTGTTGGTAAGTTCTGGTTCACTCCAGAACTTGTGGGGGAAACTATTCTTACAGCTAATCGAATACTCATTCACGTTCCCCATAGCAAGACACAATCTATTCCACATGAAAAACAGAAAGAAAGAAAATCCAACTTGAAATATTTCCAAGTGTGGGGAGTATTTGGGTAAAGTGTGAGTTCTTAAACCCAAAAGGATAAAAATCGGATCGAACACCGTTGTTCCGTATTCATAAGATATGCAACAAATAGTAAGGCATATCGTTTCCTGATTCAAAAATCAAAAATTCTGACATTCATATTGATACAGTAATCGAATAAGATAATGCTGAATTCTTTAAGAATATTTCTCCGTATAAAAAGGAATGTGAGTTATCTAATGAAATATCTAATCGACTTTGGGAAAAAGCAAAGGAAAGTACACCTAAAGAGGTGAATCCAAGATGTAGTAAACGACAAAGGACAACTACTTCCATTGGATCAGATTTTCTGACATTCTAGTCACAAAATGAGCTTCAAACTTTGAAATAAATTATGCCTTCCTCGAAAAGAAGCAGTCAATAGCGAGATAGAATCTATATTAAATAACCATACTTGGGAGTTAGTTGATCTTACTCTAGGGAATGAACCAATGGGTTCCAAATGGATTTCCAAGAGATGGTACTATTGAAAAATATTAGACAAGATTGATTAAGGATTAAGACAATGAGAAGGTGTTGATTACTTTGACACATGCTCACCGGTAACGAGAATTACATCTATTCGGATGGTAATAGCGTTAGCCGCCATGTATGCCCTTGAAATCCATTAGATGGACGTAAAGTCAACCTTCTTAAATGGATATTTGGAGGAAGAAATTTATATGGAACAACCTGAAGGGTGGTTCCTGGAAAAGAAAAAAAAGTGTATCGACTTGTTAAGTCACGTTACGGACTAAAACAAGTACCTAAATAATGACATGTGAAATTTGACTAGAAATATTGTCAAATAATTTCAGACTAGCGTATTTACATTAAGAAAACTCTAAATTATGTAGTCATTATTTGTTTATATATGGATTATATGTTGATAGAAAAGGCACATGAAACATGTGAAATGTGAGGGCATTTAGCTTATGCATAACAAAATCTAATGTTAGACGTGATGTCTATATTAATTAGAAAAACTAGATGATATGATTCTTCAAACCCCACGAGTCCTTAAGGATATTGATATGGTAGTCGGTGAATTCATTACTTGTTCAGTCTTAGTGATAGACTAGTGATGAAACTACAAATTCGAAATTTGTTTACGTGCCTTTACATAAATGATTTGTACTTTCTTGAACATGTATAATGTTTAGCTCTATTATGAAAGGTGTCACCTGGAAGTCTGCAACTTTTCATGAAAATTGCGTTTACATGTTTGTATAAATATGACCGTTCATGAACAAATGTATTAATACGTTGGTCTATAATGACGTGAACCAACCGATGAATATGACCAAAATCCATTGCAAGTTGGATTTGTTTCGTGAATGAAGGTGCTATAATTTGCATATCATATAGACGTATGAATAAATAGCACACAAAAGCTTGAAAATAGCGCAATTATTGCAAAATGTGTTATAAATTAAAAGGTTGTGGCCACAACTGATGCCAATTATTCCAGCTGTTGTTATAATATATTATTACTATATTAAGTGTAGTCACTTGTCTGATAAAATTGAAAGTCGAGACGTATTATTCTACAATATAAGAAAGTTTGAATTGAACTTTCATGACAATGAAATGAGTTTTGAAGTATTTGAAATATACTCCAAATTATGCTTTGCACTAAAATAAGTATCGCGCGATAATAGAGGGGTATAGTGATGTAAATTAGATCACTTGTTCAACTGATTCTAAACAGTCGGTGGAGGAGCGATGTCTTGGAAATCATCCAAACAGATGTGCATTGACCGCTCTACAGTGGAGGCTGAGTTTATAACCTTAGACAAGGCCGGTGAAGAAGGTGAATGGCTCCGGAATTTCTTGGAAGATATTCCATTTTGGCCCAAACTTTTGGCACATATATGTATACATTATGATAGTCAAGCGACAATAGGCAGGGCAAGGAGCATTATGTATAACGGAAAATCTCGTCACATTCGACGGAGACACAATACCGTTAGACAACTACTCTCTAGTGGTGTTATCATAATTGGTTACGCAAAATCAAGAGATGATGTGTCGGACCCAGTTACAAAAGGCCTATCTAGAGAGGCAGTTGAAAGATCATCGAAGGGAATGGGGCTAAGGCCTAGGACAAGTCATCATGACAGTAACTCTACCTAGCAGACTGGAGATCCCAAGAGCTAGGTTCAAAGAGATCAAACAACGTTATGAATGACGGTTCAACATTGTGTAATGACCCGAAAGGTCATCTCTTGTTTTTGAAATCAAAACTGTGTCCCGAGGCCTTGTAAACCTCTTTTTGTCTCACCTCGATTGCGTGCACAGTCCGGGCGCATTTTCGGAAAGCTTTTATGTGAAATCTAAATAAAATAAGGAAATTGGCCTTTAAAATTGATTAAAGTTGACTTTGGTCAACATTCTTGGTAAACGGTCCCGGACCCATGATCGGAAGGTCCCGTAGGATCCATAGTAAAATATGGGACTTGGGCGTATGCCCGAAATCGAATTTCGAGGTCCCTGGCCCGAGGAATAAATATTTAAAGAAAATTATTTGCTAGAAAATATAAAGGCTTTTAGAAATGAAATGATGTGTGTTCTTGATGGCATCGGGCCCGTATTTTGGTTTCGCAGCCCGGTATAAGTTTAAAATAATAATTAAGTTGAATATGTGGAATTTGGTAAGAATCGGAGTTTGTTTGGTATAAATCGGACCTTTAGTTGAGAAAATGGAAATTTCAATATTCATGAGTAATTTCATGAATTTGAGGTTGAATTCATAGTTGTTGATGTTATTTTGATGATTTGATCGCACGATCAAGTCCGTATGATATTTTTGGATTTGCGTGCATGTTTGGTTTGGAGCCCCGA